GAGGGGATTTTTAAATTTTCTATTGAAGAAACAATGTCATGAGATTGTCTTATGTGGATGTTGGTATTTTTGGGCAATTTGTAGTTCCCATATGTTGTTGGTGGTCCTTACAGTTCTTGTGTCTCCGCCGTCGTCCCAGTGGGTTCATGGCTGTTTTTAAGGGGTCATTTGGATCATTTCCTTGTTTGTGTGTGTCCTTTTTTTAACTTTTGGTTCATGTTTAAATATTGATTCCTCAGGAAAGTATGTGTTGCCCCTTGAGGATGTTCTGAAAAGGCACTGAGTTGTGAAAAGTTTCCCCAGAATGTCCTGAATATCAGAGTGTGTGAGTGTTTTCCTCTATTTATGATTTTTCCTATGGACTCCTCCAAAGTATAATAAATTGTGCAAACCGGTTTGTCTGATTGTGTGGCTAGAGCGTCTGGCTGCAGAGTGAAAGGTTCCCGGTTCTTACCCGGTCAATGGCATGTACGTTTGTTGCTGTCATATTTTCCGTTGGGGGGTTGGTGGGCTTGAATGAGCAGCTGATTGATGTTTGCTTGTGATCCATGTTTCTAACTCTGTATCCCTGTCCCTTCCTTTTATTTATTTATTTTTACATATTTTATTAATTTTTCTTGCCCCCCTCCCTCCCTCCCAGACATCCTCTCCCTCCCCAGAGTTTTGTGTCCATTGTTTGTATTATACTTATATGCATGTATAGAAGTCCTTCGGTTGATCTATTATCTCCTCCAGATCTTCCTCCCCTCCCCACTGTTAATTGACAGTCTGCCTGTTGCTTTACTTTCTCTATATCTGTCTCTTGGTTCATTAGTTTATAATGATCTTTATCATCTTTCAATTAGTGAGGTCATGTAGTGTTTCTCCTTCATTGATTGGCTTATTTCACTCAGCATGATGTTCTCCAATTCCATCCAGGTTGCTGCAAATGATGATAATTCCTTCTTTTTTATGGCAGCATAGTATTCCATTGTGTAGATGTACCATAGTTTTTGGATCCAATCATCTGCTGACGGGCACCTAGGCTGTTTCCAAATTCTGGCTATTGTAGATTGTGCTGCTATGAACATAGGGGTGCAAATATCCTTTCTGATTGGTGTTTCTAGTTTCCCTGTCCCTTCCTTTAGATAAGAAAAAAAAAAAAAAAGAAGTCACCAACATATTCAATAAGAAACAAAGAGTGAGAAATTGTTTCTAGCTTTGGGTTTGATTGTTTTCCATGAGTGTAAGCATCAGTGAATGCGGAAGAAGCTTGAGGCATTTTTCCTGATAATGGGAGTGTTGCATGGTCATCAGGGCACTCCCAAGTCCTTGGTGGTTGTTTAGATTTTGAAGCTGGAAGTGCGTTGTTTTTATTTGAGAGGATAGGAAGTGGTGTAGGTTTGTTGTGAGGAAAATGATGTATTTGGTGGAGAAGGTGCGTGTTTGTGACGTGATTGTGTGTTTCTGACGTTAATAGTTGTGTTTTACATTTTCCTGAGGTGACTTTTTGTGGAATCCAGTTTTGTCTGATTTTGTGTGTTCCTTGTGGAGATGATTGAGATTTTTTTTTTTTTTTTTTTTGTCAAATGATTGTGTTTTGAGGTGGAGTTATGTTTTTGGAACATAACTGTGGTCTTATTTTTAAAATATATATTTTATTGATTTTTGTACAGAGTGGAAGGGAGAGAGATAGAGAGTTCGAAACATCAATGAGAGAGTCATCGATCAGCTGCCTATTGCACACCCCCTACTGGGGATATGCCCGCAACCAAGGTACATGCCCTTGACCGGAATTGAACCCGGAGCCCTTCAGTCCCCAAGCCGACGCTCTATCCAGGGGTGTCGAACTCAATCAGAGAAGGGGCCAAAATCTAAAATCCAGCCTAAATCGTGGGCCGAATGGTTTACTGAACAGTCATAAACTGACAATGTTAACCAGAAATGTGAATTTAAAATGAGTGGAACAATCTTTTCCTTAACAGTGCTGTTAACCAACTCACATGCTATCAAGCAAAACAGTAATATTGGTATCAAGCAAAACAGTAATATTGGAATGTACCTAAAATGCTCATTGTTTTGTTTTCTGGCTAGATGTCTGACACCATTTTCCCCGGATCAATGAGTCAATGTTCGGTTTTATTTTTTGGGCTGTAGCAACCCGCAAAACAGCATGGAGGTTGTCATCGGTAATGCGTTATCTGTGCTTGTTTTTGTTCAGATTCATTATTGAAAACATCTGTTCACAAAGATAGGTGCTCCCGAACATGGATAGAATACGGGCAGCATGAAGTCGGAGCTCTGGCATTGAGTCAGGGGGCAGTAGAGGGTAGAAGTCCTCAATTTCAACATCCTGAAACCTTGATTTCAGGCCACTGTCAGACTGAAGCTCTATTATCTCCATCTGAAGGTGATGGGGCACATTGTTGACATCAACTGTAAAAGGACTGGCAAAGATGTCAAAGACTGAGTGCTGTGTTCTAAAGTCAGAGAAGCGCTGCTCAAATTCACTTAGTAAAAGGCTAACTTTGGTAGCCAGCCGACTGCAAGGAAAAGTACCAGAAATAGTGGTTGAGATACTTAAACAAACAGGAAAGTGGGCAAGATTGTCCTGTTCCAGTTGGGACTTCCATAGTTGAAGTTTACGCTGGAATGTTGTGATCATGTCAGACATCTTCGTGATGACTTGTTTGCGTCCCTGCAGCTTCAGATTCAGTTGGGCGAGATGCTCGCATATGTCACACATCATAGCAAAATCACATAGCCAGGCGGGATCCGACAGTTCAGGCAAGGGCTTTCCTTTACTTTCCATGAAAAGAGCAATTTGTTCTCTGAGCTCAAAAAATCTTTTGAGGACTGCGCTCTTGCTCAGCCATCTTACTTCTGTGTGGTATGGCGCGTCTCCATGCTCTGCACCCACCTCCTGTAAAAACTGCTGGAACTGGCGATGATTCAGGCCACGTGCCCGTATAAAGTTAATAGTTTTAATGACTGTGGTCATTATGTCATTAATGTCCAGAACTTTTCCACACATAGCCTCTTGGTGGATAATGCAATGATAAGTAATCAAGGGTGTGTGGCAGTGACTTTTTTGTATTCTTTCCTTCATTAGTCCAACCAAGCCTTTCTTTTCTCCGAACATTGAAGGTGCGCCATCGGTAGTTAGCCCCACCAACTTTTCCCAGGGTAATTTAAAATTATTTATAGATTTCTCCACAGTCTCAAATATTGATATATCTCTACCAGTCGTCGTCCCATGCATGGCAGCTACATCCAAAAGTTCCTCAGTGACAGAGAGGTCGGTCTTCGTAGCACGTATAAAGATGGACAGCTGCGCTGTATCAGTGTTGTCTGTGCTTTCATCGATAGCAAGTGAAAAAGCGAGATAACTGCATGCCTGTTCGGCCAGCTGTGATGATAGATTTCCTGAGAGTTCTTGAACTCTATCTGCAATGGTGTTTCTTGACAAACTGACATTTTGAAAACTCTGTATCTGGTCTGGGCATACTTGCTCACACACTTTTAGCATGCATTGCTTCAAAAAGGCACCCTCTGAAAAACACCTTGAAGTACGTGCAATTTCTTCAGCCACTATAAAGCTTGCTTTCACTGCAGCATCATTTTTCGCTGTAGCCTTTGTAAACATTTGCTGCTGTGATTGTAGTTTGCCTTTTAGTTCTTTAACAATTTTATGCTTTTCTTCCAAAGTATATTTGCCATACTTAACATTATGTTTGGTGTCAAAATGACGACGTATATTGTACTCTTTCATCACCGACACTGTCTCATAACACAGTATACACACTGGTTTGCCCTCTCTAAGCACAAACATGTATCCATTTTCCCATTTGTCATTAAATTGTCTGCCTTCACTGTCAACTTTTCTTTTCCTGGACATTTTGGGATCAATATTGGCAGTAAAAGATGTAGTTTATTGGAAATCTGCGTTAGAAGGAAAAAGTTGAAAACGGCACAGGGATAGCTTGATTTGGCAGATGGAGTGGAGAAAAAAAAAGTCAGTCAATAAATGCCTGGCTGGGTACAGATAGCAGATTCTGTTGCGATTTTTATGCCTGCACTTTATGCCAGGAACTGGCAGCTTCTGCTGTGTATTTTTTATGCCCGCACACTCACTCTCTCCTCTGCTCTGCCACCCGCACAACCACATTGGATGCCGGACTATAGGTCACACCTCCTGAATCTCGAGTGACTTGTTATCTATGCGCATGTGTAATAGATAGCAAGTACGGTGGCCGGCAAGGCGGCCGGCGAGGCGGCCGGCGAGATCACAAGCCTCCTATGTCACCGCGCGTCATTGTGATGGAACGCAGTGGAGTGCAGTGATGACAGCGCGGTGAGGGCCACATTGCAAGGCCTGGCGGGCCGGATTTGGCCCGAGGGCCTTGTGTTTGACATGTGTGCTCTAGGGTTTGATTCCGGCTCAAGGGCATGTACCTTGGTTGCAGGATCGATCCCGGCCAAGCTAGAGGCAACCAGTCAATGTGTCTCTCTTATATCGATGTTTCTCTCTGTTTCTCCCCGTCCCTTCCACTCTCCCTAAAAGTCAATGAGTGGGTGTTAAATAAGTAAATAAAAAGGAGTGGTGTGATCTCTCTTGGTATAGGCACACAGTAGGCTGTTTTCCAATGAATTCTGTGATGTGAGGCTGTCTGCTGACCCAAGGCCTGTATAACGATCAGTTATGTGGTCAGAGTTCCCTTTTGTGTAAAAATACTGCTGTAAAATAATTGCCATTTTATTCTCAGAATTTTATACAATAGCCATCTATTGAGATAATTCTTATTGTTGCTCTGAGCCGTGGCTGGAGGTGTGAGCAGGCCCCCAGGGGGAGCCTGCAGCTCTGGAAGACCATGGCTCCATCCCGCAGGCAGGCCAGCGTGGCCGCAGCTGCTGTCAGTCCTTAGAATCTCGTTTAACACTTTCTCAAGCTCAGAGCTGACTTCAGCCAAGTGAGTTTTCATGTGGAAGTTACCAAAGCCCTCTTATTCTGGATGTGGTCTGTGCGTTGAGGGCAGAGGCACCCGCCAGAACAGCAGAGAGTTTACCCAGCGGCTTCTCTGTCATCTTGTAATTGCATGCTTCTGCCTTTGCAGAAACACACCGAGGAGATTACCAAGCTGCGAAACGACTTTGAGAGGCAAGTGCGAGGTCAGTGTCTCACTTCCTGCGTGCCACCCGTCAGAAAGTGACTCTGTGGGGCTCATCTTCGCCGGGCTGTTAGGCCAGGTCAGCCCAGCCCAGATTGTGTGGGGAGAGTCTGGTCGTTTGTTCAGGCCGATGGACCTCAGCACCCCAGAACCAAGTTTTTTCTGTGTCAGCTGGGGAGGCTGTGGCCACCACCCACTTCCCTGCTCCTGGCAAAGACTGGTGTCCGGGAGCAGGGGGTGGCCACTCAGTCTCGTGGGCAGTGTTCTCAGTCTTTCCCATGGCTCCTGGCCTGAGGCGGTCTGTCCAGCTTTAGTAACAAAGCCCTGTGTTGTGACCGGATGGCCATAGGGGTCATTGCTAGCGACCATGGGATGGGCTGAGCTTAGCTCTTGTGAGCCCTGCAGGGTGGAGTAGCCACGACTGCCCCGGGCAGAGGACAGCAGGCATGCGGTGTGCCGTACCTGCCCCTTGAGCATCAGCGGGAAAACCCTCTTAAACCACCCTCTTCCTTGGCGGATGAGCGTGGGCAGCACTGGCACAGCCGGCTGCTCTCTGCTCAGCGGCCCTGTGCGCTGCTGCCTTTCAGAGATCGAGGCCAAGTATGACAAGAAGATGAAGATGCTCAGGGATGAGCTCGACTTGCGGAGGAAGACCGAGATCCACGAGGTGGAGGAGAGGAAGAACGGCCAGATCAGCACGCTGATGCAGCGGCACGAGGAGGCTCTCACAGACATGAAGAACTACTACAACGACATCACCCTCAACAACCTGGCCCTCATCAACTCCCTCAAGGTGCCGGGCTGCCGGCGCCAGCACAGTGTCCCTTAGGAAATGTTTCTGCACTGTCCTGGATGGAAATCCACAGGGAACGTAACCCCTCCGTGCCTGTAGCCGAAAACAGGCTGTTGCCCTTGTGTCGGGTAGGAGAATGAGTAGGACAGTGTCCGTCATGAGAGTAAATGCCCAGGCAGGACTGTGGTTGGAACCTAGCACAGAGGTATGGGCAGGTGTCATTGCCACCTACGTGCTGGCAGGGATGGGGTTCCATAATGCAGGAAGCCCTGCATGGGGTACTGAACAAAGCGTCATCTCCTGAGAACCTCGTTCGCAGGACATTCAGAGTAGGTGTGTGTGTCTCCATAAAACAGGTCTCATTGGCCTGCGTGCCCACAGTGGCAGGACTTGCCTGTAGCAGGTGATCTTGCAGCCCTGGCGCTGCCCGCTGATCCCTCCTGCACACGCCTGTGCCCACAGGAGCAGATGGAAGACATGCGGAAGAAGGAGGAGCACCTCGAGAAGGAGATGCTGGAGGTGTCTGCGCAGAACCGGCGCCTGGCGGAGCCGCTGTAGAAGGCCCGGGATGAGATGAGCGAGATGCAGAAGAAGCTGGGTGACCACCAAAGGGACAAGCAGATCCTGGTTGTGAGTGTCCCCTGCAGTCCCCTCCCTCCTTGGCTTCTCCTGGCTCGAGATGCCTCCTGGGGCCTGTGTAGGGCTTGGCCCTAAGGACAGGAGGGCGTCTGAATCTCCATTTTCTGTGAGTGGAAAGGAGGTGGGGGAGCGTGTAGAATCGGTGCCCACATCTGCCGTGGTGGGGATGAACCACTGTGTCTTTGAGCCAGTTCTTCCTGGAGATTATTCCTGGTCTCGCCATCTCCAGGAGCCTCCATGTGTGCACGCATGAATCCTGAGTGCCTTCTGCGCTCACCCCTCCTCTCTGCAGGGCACAAAGGCATGCTTGAAAGTTACCGAGAAAGAGCTCAAGAGTCTGCAGTGGGAACATGAGGTGCTGGAGCAGCGGTTTATCCAGGTGGGCAGCCAGCAGCCCAGCGGAGACTTGTCCCAGGAGGTCCCGCTGCCTGCTCCTCCTCCAGCTCTCAAGGAAGCCATGGCACGTTCTGTGGAAGGCCCAGGTCTCACCCAGCAGATCCCTGGTGGGGAGCAGTGTGCCCACCTGGCCCCTCTGGCTCATTCTCCAGCCAGCATCCTTTCCTCTACGTACATGGATGTGCACGTTGGGAAGAAGTCATGGAGGCCTGAGACTAAGTAAAAACAAGAGGGTTCCCCTGCTGCTCAGCGCTGAGCCTCACAAGTGTTAACAGCTTCCGTGTCTCCTCCCAGCTCCTCTTGAGTGTCCATGGAAGTCCGTGGGTGGGACTTCCTGCCTTAGACGCAGCGCCTTCCAGCTCCCAGGTCCTGCATAGTCGCTCACTCTGGTGTCACCCGTGCTCCCCACCAAGTGCAGCTGGCGCTGAGGGACGCCTGCTCGTCCTCTCCTGACAGCTCGTCTGTGCCTCGTGGGCGCCTCCTTAGGGAAGCCAGTTCCTGGTGATGGAATTACTGGGCCAGAATGTTTGTGTTCAGATTTCAGATAGCCCGCCCAGAGGGCTGTTGATCTCACCCAAGTGCCCAATGGGCCGCTTCCTTCTGCACCAGCTGTCGCGAATCCCAAACTCTGCTGCTGTGTGATTGGTGGAGAATGTCTCGGTGAATGTGCTTTCCTTAGATTTCCATTGAGCCTGAGATCCCTCCCTGCAGTGTCCGGGGTCTGCCCCGGGCAGAGCATTGCCACCTGCTCCATTTGTTAGTTCAGGGTGCTCCGTGGCCAGCGCAGGGTGGACCATGGGCCAGAGCAGGACACCCCATGTGCCAGGTTCCTCCCACTGATGTGCAGGAGTGCCTGTGAGTTCGTCATATCGACACCCTCCAAGGCGCTCAGAGGGGCCTGCTGGCTTCAGGGAGCCTGCGGCTAGAGGGGTTTGGTGCCGAGGGCACAGGCTCCCTGGTGTGGGTGGACTCTGCGTAGATGGCACGCTGGAAGGTGTGTCTGGCCCAGGCCATAGGGGGAGGGCTTCTTGCCGGTGAGATGGCCCAGCGGAGGCGTCCCTGCAGGTGCAGCGGGAGCGGGACGAGCTCTACAGCAAGTTCACGGCGGCCATCCTGGAGGTGCAGCAGAAGACCGGCTTCAAGAACCTGCTCCTGGAGCGCAAGCTGCAGGCCCTCAGCGCTGCCATGGAGAAGAAGGAGCTGCAGCTCAACGAGGTGCTGGCAGCCTCCCACCTGGACCCCGCCACCCTGAGCCTGGTGTCCCGCAAGCTGGAGGTCAGTGCCCGATGGGCCCGGGGGCAGCTGGATGGTGCCTGTGCTCCTGCCCTGGCAGGTGGCCTGCAGGGGCTCTGACTGGGTCACTTGTCTCATGTTGGGACCCCACGCATGTGCAGCCTCCATCAGCCCAGGTACCCACCTCGGCCAGCCCTGGGGAGGGGCTCCCCACACTCTCTCACTCAGAACTCGGCTCGCTGCTACTGCTTCTTAGGATGGGTTCAGCTTAGCCTGTCAGGTGCTAGGTCTCAACTGTTCTGTAACTTGGGGGCCTGAGCCCCTTGGGCATCTGGTGGCCGACCCAGACATAGGCCTGGGGGACAGCTGAGTCTCCTGTACTCTCAGGGAAGTCACTATGCTGTGTCCCACCCGGGCAGTTAGAGGGAGCTACATCTGGGCAGAGGCCATAGCATTTGCTGACTTGAATCCTGTTATTCACAGCACCCTCTGTGCTGGGATTGGCCCGGGCCCAGGGGACGGGGTGGGGATGCGGGAGGGGGCAGCAGTAGTCAAGGCAGGTGAGACCTCGGCGCCGTGACCTTGGGCCAGCAGGTCAGCTGAGGCATCAGGGTAGCGATCGCTCCTGCCTCGCAGGCGGAGCCCTGCAGCACCTGCAGGTTCTCTCTCACCCAGAGACGGGCCTTGTCCCTCTGTTCCCCGACCTGATTTTGGGGGTGGGGGGGTCACAAACAGAATTGGTGGTGTGAGATAAGCGGTCTTGGTGCTGCCAGGGGAGTGTGGCTGATGCTCAGAACTCAGCCAACTGGGCCACCTGCTCCTGCCAGGCCGTGGGGCCCTGGGAGACAGATACGTGTGCACTGGCCTCCGTGTTTTCTTCCAGAGGCCAATCCCCCTCCCTGAACGGGGTCTTCCTGGGGAAAGGTCTGTGGTATCGGCGTGGGGCCTCCTCACCCTCTGGGTGCAGGTGTGTTTATTCTGAGAAGTAGCATAGGCAGCATTGAAAAAATATTATTTATTTATTTTGTGTTAATCCTCACCTGAGGATATTTTTCTATTGTTTTTAGAGAGAGTTGAAGGGAGGGGGAGAGGCAGAGAGAGAAACATCCATGTGAGAGAGACACATGGATAGGCTGCCTCCTGCACACACCCTGACCAGGTCCAGGGGTCGAACTCACAACCTGGGTGTGTGCTCCGACTGGGACCCGAACCCGAGACCCTTTGGTGTGCAGGCCAGTGCTCCAGCCAGTGAGTCCCATCAGCAGTTCAGGTGACACGAGCCCCTTTGGCTCACACCCCGAGGATGAACCTGTCAGGTCACCGTGTCTGTACGTGAAGCATTGCAGCCACTCCTCCCGCCCAGCTGCCCTGCGGCCTGCAGCTGGCACTTGGTGCTGCCATCTGGGTGGGAGAGATTCGAAGCTGTCAGCTGTGTCCCTGACTTTGGGACCGGGGAGGACTGTGGAAGGTTCTGGGGAGGACATACTGGATCTGCGATCACACAGGGACCTGCAGTGAAGGCTGAGCAGGATGGACTTGTCACAACTGCGGAGGGGCTGGGAAGGCCAAGGCGAGGTCCTTCCTGCATCCTGGCTCAGTGGCCACAGTGCTGTGGGACCGAGTCACCGGGACAGTGTGGGCGGGGGTCTGGGGTAGTGCAAGCACAGAGGAGGGCTTGTCTGTAGGCAGCACTGTGGCCCTGGGCCTGGGGCTCCTCTCTGACTGGTGCCTCTGTCCCTGAGGGTCACCAGTGTGAGGAGGGGCACTGCAGCTACACCAGGCCAGGGTTGGCGTGGGCGAGCTCTCGGCTTTCCTGGTCGGACCACCAGGCCTGCGCCTCTCACTTCTCAGCACCCATCTCTGCGCAGAGGCAGGCGCCGTCTCCCTCTCTCCTGGGGGACCTTTCCGCACGGCCTGCTGCCCGTGTGGACACACGTGGATGGGGCCAGGCCACTGTTTCCTGGACATCCAGGGTCACTGTGAGAGCCCCAGATGCATACCCACGGCTGCTCAGTCTGTCCCGTTCCAAAGACAGGTCTGCAGCTCCCATCTGCATTTCTCTCCTCAGGATGTTCTGGAATCGAAGAACAGCACCATCAAGGACCTCCAGTACGAGCTGGCCCGGGTCTGCAAGGTAGGAGGGGCCCCGTCTGCTTAGTGCACGCCCTCACCTGGGACCCTGAGATTCCTGCCGTCGCCTGCTCGCTGGTGGCTTAGGGCAGCTCTGGGTGCCCGTGTTCCTCCAGGGCAGCCTGGAGCGCTCTGGGAAAGGAGGGCTGGTCTCTTCCCGCCTCCTGGTCTGACCTGGCTGCCGTGGCGATGGGAGTCTGCACCTCCAAGCAGGGAGCAGTTCCAGGTCTAACCTCTCAGGCTCCTTTGTGAGTCTGACGAAAGCTGCCTGCCATTTCTGTACCAAAAACGCACATTGAGGGCTCTTTGCCCCCCAATCCCCCCGTTGTCTGTCCCATGAGTCCCAGTGGCCTGGGTCCTGCTCCCAGCACAGCCCCCCCTCCCCCCACTCCGGCCGGCATTCCCCATGCTGTCTGGGCTTTGCCTGTGGTGATGCAGACACATAGCTGCCTGTGCACATGTTTACCAACGCAGCCACCTATCAGGACTCAGACGTGCCCGTGGTTCTGTTTTCTGTGCTTCTGTTCCATGCGAGCCTGGGCTGTGCAGCCTCAGATGGAGGCGTCTGTGGTGCTGGGTCTTCCCTTCCCCTCCCAGCCGGAACCTTCCCTGGATGCCCAGCCCCTGGATACGTGTGCACCCAGAACTGGTGCCAGCTGCTGGCCGTGCAGCTATTGGAGCATCTGCACAAGCTGTCAGGAGGCCTGTACCCCTCAAATGGCGAGAGCCAGGCCCAGCCCCCACTTCTCTCTGGATCTCCGCTCAGTCCTCCCTCTCACTCTTGACCCAAGTCCCAGCACCAAGTGTAAAGATGTTGTAAGAATGAAAATGTTTAAAAGCTGTTTGTGTTATCTCAACTCCCTAAGGTCTCACCCCCACCCCCTCTCAGTGATGGGAACAGGACCCTTAAAGTTGTCTCAGAAAACAGCCCCGAGCAGGGAGTAAAGGGAGCAATGTTTGCTCCAACAAGATAAGAGAAACAGGATAACAGAGTAAACTTTGCTTTGACAGTTAAGTGAAATAGGGTATGAGATTACCAGACAGGACTGTTGACTTAGAGCAAGCCCTGTCATAGAATATGTTATTAACGAGCCCAGCACCCCTTTTAGAATTCCTTTGTTCCTCTCTTCCCCTCCATGTGTAACCCCTCCCTGAGGAATGGAGAATAACTGACCTTGCCTGGAGGGTAGAAAGTTGCTACTAACCCCTCCTGGGCCTGAAGGCCAAATAAACAGTCTGGGGTAGATAAGGCTGAAGGCCAAATCAGCAGACTGTTAGTTTAGGCTAAACAAACAGAACAAACCAAGAAGGGAAATTAGGCCATCTGGCCAATGCATGCAACCATAGAAACGACCTCCACCCCCTTTCTTTGAAATGTATATAAGAAGCTGGATTTGGGACTGCGGGCTGCTGTTTGCCGCCTGCTCCATCCTGGCGGCAGCAGCCCAGAATCGAATCTGTAATAAAATTTGTAATTAGACTCCGCAATTGGCTAGTTGGAGTTATTTCCCGGGTAGGGGGGCTCTGCCTCTTGGGTGGTCTGGGCTCCATTCAACAGATGTGAGGACGATGTGCCCTCTGGAGGTTTTTTCCTGAGTCAACCGACGCTCCAGGCGCTGCTCAGGCATCGCCTCTTCAGACCCTCCAGCCACCGACGACGACGACGTTTAGCCTTTTAAAGACGCCTTTCCCAGAGGGACAGAGCCATGTCCCCGGACCTGGCAGCACTGTTGGCCATACTGAGCTCTTCTGGGATGTGGGGGTCCCGTGTTCCCCATCAGCCGTCTTTGTGATCCCTCCTTCCCGCCCTCCACAGAGCTGAGTGTGCTAGGGAGGGCACTGCCCTGCCCGGGGGAGCCCTCCCACACGCGCTGTCTCCACAGGCCCATGGCGACCTGCTGCGCACCTACGAGGCGAAGCTCCTGGCCTTCGGGATCCCTCTGGACAACGTGGGCTTCAAGCCCCTGGAGACGGCCATGATTGGGCAGGCCCTGGGCCAGGGCCCTGCGGGGCTAGTGAGCACCCCAACATAGCCCCCCGGGACTTCTCCCTGCACGACCCCCCCTTTACACTGCGGCAGCAGGTGTGTTTTATTTGTTGGGTCAGCGAATGAAGGCTTTCACGTTTGCCGCGTGTCCTGGTGCACGACTGTGGCCAGTCTTCCCCGCCCAGCTGCCCCCCCCCCCCATACACACACCTCCTGCCGGGCAGCACAGCACAGCTGTGCCCAGTGACCGCAGCAGCCTGCAGGTGCCACAGACTTTATTGGTGCCCAAGTCACAGCGCCACTAGGGCTTGGGGTCCAGACCCCCCCCCCCCCGGGAAGCGGGACCTGAGGCCCCATGAGGAGCAGGGAGCCCCTGTGGATGGCTGCGTAGGCTCTCGGACCAGCGGGCGGTCAGCTCCCTCGGTAGGTGGTGTAGGACCATGGGCTCAGCAGCAGGGGGACGTGGAACTTGTGGGTCTCGTTTGTGATGGTGAAAACGACCTGAGAACAGAAGCAGCAGGAGGGAGCACTGTCCCCGTGCTCCCCTGGAGAAGCCGGACTGCGGCCTGAGGGCTGGCTCCCAGGGAGCCCCAGAGCGGCCAGCGCCTGCTGACTGGAAACGGGCTGTGGACAAGACTGAATCCGCTCTAGAGGGAGCTCTTGGCTTGAGGGCCTGCCAGGCTTCCCAAGGTGCCCACCCTGAAACAGGTCAGGCGAAGGGGGGGCAGCAAGGTGAGGCCCAGTGATTTGGACGGGACTTGTTCAACACCCGTGTCCACAGGGGCTTAGTCACCCTCCACCCTGCCCCCTAGCCTGACCCGGGGACGGGAGGGACACCTTTCTCCTGGGAGCTCAAAGCAGGTGAACTCACTGCCTGCCAGTGCCCTGGGAGAGGGGGAGGGGCACTGCCCTGGGAGAGGGGGAGGGACACTGCCCTGGGAGAGGGGGAGGGGCACTGCCCTGGGAGAGGGGTAGGGGCACTGCCCTGGGAGAGGGGGAGGGGCACTGCCCTGGGAGAGGGGAGGGGTCAGTGCCCTGGGAGAGGGGGGAGGGGCACTGCCCTGGGAGAGGAGGAGGGGTCAGTGCCCTGGGAGAGGGGGGGGGGGCACTGCCCTGGGAGAGGGGGAGGGGCACTGCCCTGGGAGAGGGGGAGGGGTCAGTGCCCTGGGAGAGGGGGGAGGGGCACTGCCCTGGGAGAGGGGGAGGGGCACTGCCCTGGGAGAGGAGGAGGGGTCAGTGCCCTGGGAGAGAAGGAGGGGCACTGCCCTGGGAGAGGGGGAGGGGACACTGCCCTGGGAGAGGGGGAGGGGTCAGTGCCCTGGGAGAGAAGGAGGGGCACTGCCCTGGGAGAGGGGGAGGGGTCAGTGCCCTGGGAGAGGGGGGAGGGGCACTGCCCTGGGAGAGGGGGAGGGGTCAGTGCCCTGGGAGAGGGGGGAGGGGCACTGCCCTGGGAGAGGGGGAGGGGCACTGCCCTGGGAGAGGGGGAGGGGTCAGTGCCCTGGGAGAGGGGGGAGGGGCACTGCCCTGGGAGAGGGGGGGGGGCACTGCCCTGGGAGAGGAGGAGGGGTCAGTGCCCTGGGAGAGAAGGAGGGGCACTGCCCTGGGAGAGGGGGAGGGGACACTGCCCTGGGGGAGGGGGAGGGGCACTGCCCTGGGAGAGGGGGAGGGGCACTGCCCTGGGAGAGGGGGAGGGGCACTTCCCTGGGGGAGGGGGAGGGGCACTGCCCTGGGAGAAGGGGGAGGGACACTGCCCTGGTAGAGGGGGAGGGGCACTGCCCTGGGATAAGGGGGAGGGACACTGCCCTGGGAGAGGGGGAGGGGTCAGTGCCCTGGGAGAGAAGGAGGGGCACTGCCCTGGGAGAGGGGGAGGGGCACTGCCCTGGGAGAGGGGGAGGGGCACTGCCCTGGGAGAGGGGGAGGGGTCAGTGCCCTGGGAGAGGGGGGAGGGGCACTGCCCTGGGAGAGGGGGAGGGGCACTGCCCTGGGAGAGGGGGAGGGGCCAGTGCCCTGGGAGAGAAGGAGGGGCACTGCCCTGGGAGAGGGGGGGGGGACACTGCCCTGGGGGGGGGGAGGGGCACTGCCCTGGGAGAGGGGGAGGGGCACTGCCCTGGGAGAGGGGGAGGGGCACTGCCCTGGGAGAGGGGGAGGGGCACTGCCCTGGGAGAAGGGGGAGGGACACTGCCCTGGTAGAGGGGGAGGGGCACTGCCCTGGGGGAGGGGGAGGGACACTGCCCTGGGAGAGGGGGGGGGGCACTGCCCTGGGAGAGGGGAGGGGCACTGCCCTGGGAGAGGGGGAGGGGCACTGCCCTGGGAGAGGGGGAGGGGCACTGCCCTGGGAGAAGGGGGAGGGACACTGCCCTGGGAGAGGGGGAGGGGTCAGTGCCCTGGGAGAGAAGGAGGGGCACTGCCCTGGGAGAGGGGGAGGGGCACTGCCCTGGGAGAGGGGGAGGGGCACTGCCCTGGGAGAGGGGGGAGGGGCACTGCCCTCCGCAGGACCTTGGAGTCAGTGAATCACAGCCTCCACTCCATGCCAGCCTGTGCCCTCACCTCCACATAAGGGTAGAAGCTGTCCTGCCCCCTTTTCTTCCAGTAACTCTCTGTGTCGAAGGTCAGCTTGTAGATGCCCGCCTTCATCTGGCCTGGCAGCAGGAGACCAGGGCAGCGGCCATCGGGGTCGGTGTAGCTGTTGGGGAGAGGGACGAGGTGCACCCCTGCCTGGCTCTCGGGATCTCCACAATTCGCAGCCTCACACACCCCTGCAGCCTGGCTCGGGAGAGACTAGTGCCTGGGGTTAAGGAGCAGCTGTTGTCCAGCACAGAGAAGCAGGAGAGGGAAACCTCCCACCATCTTCCCCAGGAGCAATCATCACTCTATTTGACCTGTATTTTTCCATGTACTCTCTATCAGTATGCTTATTTATAAAATGAGAAGAAGGCAAGGTGGATGACACTGTTCCTATTGTTTGTAACCTGGACGAGACGTGCAGTACATGGTGTGTGGCTTTCGGGGTCCGTTCCTGTTCCAGGTGGCCCAGTGCCCCATGACTCTGCTGTGCAGGCTGATGAGCTGGCACTGTGGTCAGAGAGCACCGCTCATCTGCACTCGGGGAGTTGGGAACCGGTCCCTGCGGCCCCCAGGGGACTCCATGTGCTCTTCCAAGACCACAGCCGGCCTTCAGGTGGGCCCTGGGCCCGCAGCCTTTGTGAGGCACGGAACAGGGAGGGACACGCTCCACAACCTCAGGCCCTGAACTTTTTGGGCCACCAAGTGCCAATATGCCAGCCTGGGCCTCCCAGCAGAGCTGAGTGCCGGGCATCAGCCGGGGCCACGAGAGCACAGCTGCCAGGCTGGTGCGGGTTGTCCCTGCTTCTGTCTAAGGGTCACTAGGTGCAGTGAGAATAAAGGAAGAGAAAGTGCTGTGTGGTGAGCGGAAGCCTTCACTGGCCTAGCCTGACCCCTGACCCCTTACCCCTGCCCCCTGCCGGGAGAGGCTTCAGGAGCCGGCAGGGGACGGGGGCCCTTTTCTGAGGGAAGGGCTCTGGACCCAGCGCTACCCCAAAACCTACCTTCTCCTCAGTTCTGTCCACTGCTGGCCATGGTCCTTGAGCCTCGACAGACAGAGGCAGAGGCCTTGGGCTGGGAGCCCGGAGGCAGTGTCCAGCACGTGTGTGGTCATTGGGCTGCGGACTGGCTCCATGCCTCTGCCCTGGGCCAGGAGAGAGGGACAGACAAGCCCTGTGTCCACACCAGCCCCAAGGAGGCAACACTTAGAGCAAACAGCCCTGTGGGATGGAGAGTCCCAGGAAGTCCCTGAGACGGATGACCAAGGCTGTGGTATGCACACACTGAGGTTCAGGTTGTCAGCTATGCTGATCTCTTCCCCATCATCCCCACTGGGACTCTCCCCTCCCCTCCCTCCACCATCGCTTGGTGCCGCCCTGCTGGTCAGTGCTGGTGCGAAGCCAGGCATTCCCAGTTCTCCCAGCTCAGCTTCCAGTCCGGAGCCCAGGCCGATGGGACGGGACCGCCCTACCTCCCTGAGCCCAGGCGGACGGAACGGAACTGCCCTACCTCCCGGGAGCCCAGACCCGCGGGACGGAGCCCAGGCCGATGGGACAGAACGGGGGGTCGCCCTACCTCCCGGGAGCCCAGGTGCCGCTGGAGTGCACGCAGCCGTGGGGCAGACGCCGAGCTCATGCCCAGTAGCTGGGAACGGCTGAGCTGAGGTCACCCCTCCCGCCTCCGCCTGAGGGCGCCTCCCCGACCGCCCGTCCTGCCGTCACCTCCCTGGCCCGGACCGAGTGTCTGACCCAATGGGGTGGTTTGTGGGTGGAGGTACCTCTCGGTGCCACCAGTACGGCCCCAGGGACCGCGCTCGGGAGGGGCCCAGGTGGGCCAGCGGGGAGCACGGACCTGTGGCTGCAGAGGCAACTCCCACCGGAAGTGAAATCGAGGGGACCGTCTGGGATGGGCGGCCATCAGGGAACCGAACGGGAGGGGTGGGACTGGGCGGGGCGGGAGGCGGGTGGAAGCGGGAGGGTGGTTCTTCCCAGATCCACTGTGGCCTCTAGCTGGGCCTGGAGGTGGCTCACGAGCCCGACCCCCATCAGGAGTCCCAGGAAAAACGTGGATTTTTTACCTTCTGGGACAGTCAGCATAAATATATATATTTATGGACTTCAGAGAGGAAGGGAGAAGGAGAGGGAGATGGAAACATCCATGATGAGAGGGAATAATGGAGTAACTGCCTCCTGCATGTCCCACACTGCGGAGCTGGCCCACAACCCGGGCTTGTGCCCCCATGGGGAATCGAACCTGGGACCCTTCAATCCAAGGGCCGACGCTCTATCCATTGAGCAACACGGGTTAAGGCAGGAGAGTATTTTGATGGAAGCCTCTCAAAGGTTAGGTAAGGTGTTCAACTCTGTCCTAACAGGCCCTGTGACGATGCCTCAGTTTCCCCATCTGTGAAAAGGGGTGTTAATGACTCCTGGTTGTTACGGTTCCACAGAAGAAGACAGATGAGCTTGTGCTCTTGTCCCACTGTGGCCCACTCTGGTGTCCTGGGGCCCCTCTGGCCTCTTCTGTCTCCCTCCATGCCCACTCTGCCTCCCTCCACCTCCCAACCCCTTCTCCTGCCCCAGTTCCACACACTAATTGGCTGCAGAAATAAGGAGAGTTGCATGGTGTATCTATTGCTGTGTGGAGTGTTGCTCTGGACACAGGAACTGTTTTTTCTAACCAAGGTGTATTTTCTAATAATTCAGTAGTGAGCATGGACTATCTGTAGGTTTAGAATCAGGCCCCTTCAAGGTAGGGATGATGACTCTTGTAGCAAAGGTTGAAAGTGAGCTGTTTATAACTCTGAGGTGATTTGGAAATATCTATTTGAAATGTGCACACACATGACATTTGGCAGGGCTTATGTTTGCAGCAGAAAACCCCAAAGGGATGCTGCTTACACTGTTTCGGCAAACGCATGTGGGTACAAGAGACTAGAAACAGCCAGAATGTCCTCACTCTGCACAGATAAGGAGTTCTGTCACACCCCTGTATACTCTGCTGTTCTCTGAGAAGAATTAGGTCCATTGTAAGACAGGTCTCCACAAGCATCACACATGTTAGGAATGGAGGCAGTCATTTACAGCTTTGAGCTTTAAATATCTGGTTACAAAAGCTAGCTTGTTCAATGCTCTAAAAGATCAATGGAAAAATTACCCCCAGTAAGGATTAACAACAAACAAAAAACAAGAAGTCTCAGTGTGACTTCGTGGGGGTGAGTCGGAGAGGAGGATGGTGTTGTAACCTGCCAATCAATGCGTCCAGGCTGCCTGTCACTTCGTTAGCCAATTCAGCAGAGACAGGGTTGAGTCACCTAGGAGCACTTCTGATACTGCCAGCAGCATGGGAGAGCAGCAGGTCATTCGCAAGAATCTGTTCTGCACCCCGTAGCCAGCTGTTTATATAGGGCAGGGCAAGGGTTATAGCAGGCCTGGGGAAGTAGGCTCTGCGGGCTGGGGTGGGACACCATCGTTTGGGCAGCAATGTTGTTCGTCTTTCCGTGATAATTTAGGAGTTAGTGGCTGTGACATGGATAGTGAGAGCACTACATCATCTCATACATGTCATTGATAAGGTCCATGGTGACTTTACTGATCATATTTCAGCAGCATGAAAATGAGTCTCCCCTTCTAGTATCTCAAAATTCCAATAATGTTTCCTATTTTTTCAAGTTACTTCTGTGACATCAGGTTATTGTTACTGAGTACCTTTTTTCTCATAGTAAATAAATTGTAAACACATTTTTTTTTGAACATAAGATTCTTGTGTTGAAACACATTGTTTTAAAAGGTGTTCTTGTAACTGAAAGGGTTCTGCTCGATCTCTGTTTCTGTCTCTTTCTGAATGAAAGATCAGAAAAACCTGTAGAAATGTGCTAAGATTAAGCATCCCTTATTTTGTGATTTATTTTAATGTAAACATAGAGCAGACAGTTATTTTATAGGATAAACGCTTATATTTTCTTTCAAGTAGGTAACTGATTATACTGTACACATTTATGGTTCTATATATGATACTTATTACTCCAGCCCTCAAAATACTAGTTCAGCCAATTGCTGCCCAAAAATAATCCTCTGCTGCCCTCCTGTGGCCATTCAAGGAATAACATCGTGTTTCTGTCCATGGTGCTGACATTTCAGCTAAAGCCCTGTGAACACGACTAAAAATTCTACGCAGAAAAAGAAGGAAAACAAATCATCAAGGCTGTCCATAGCGGCAACCATTCCTTCCCTCATTTTTAGAAGTCACGGCTCTGAGTCTTGACCTGTTCCCACCCCATCCATGCAAAGGGAGGCCCCGGAGACTGCTGCATGGAGGTTCCCTTTAAGGTGACCCACATTCTGCCTAATGCTCCGTGGTGCTTCTTTTAACTAGAGAGCAGTGAGTGAGTGTATGTCTGGCAAGTTGTGCTCTAACCAGTTAGCCACACCATCTATGGTTTCTATTAAATTCATATAAATTGGAGGGGTGGTCAAGGGTCAGAGGTCAAAGCTGGGGCTCAGACTAGGGCTGGGGTTACAGTTAGGGTTTTTGGGTGAGGGTGAGCATGATGGGCCAGGGACTGGGTCATGGCCAGGGTCAGAGGTGGAAAAGGTGAATTAGCTTGGAAATGGAAAATTTTAATGTATCTCAGCATCATCCAAATTTGTTGTCCGTTGCAAGATTTTAGTAAATTCCAATATGGCTTCTTACTTTTTCAAGTTACTATAGTGACATTAGGTTATTAAAATTTAATGCTTTCTTCTCCTAGTAAATTAGCTGTAAACACATTTTTTTTCTGAATAAAAGATTCTAGTTAATACTTTGGTTTTGAAACATATTGGTTTTGAAACCTGTTCCTGTAATTCAAAGGGTTCTGCTCAATAACCTATACCTGTCTCTTTCAGAATGAAACGTGGTAAGACCAAGCATCCTTTATTTTTTGATTTTTTTTAAAAAAATATATTTTATTGATTTTGTACAGAGAGGAAGGGAGAGAGATAGAGAGTTAGAAACGTCGACAAGAGAGAGTCATCGAACAGCTGCCTCCTGCACACCCCCTACCGGGGATATGCCCGCAACCAAGGTACATGCCCTTGATCGGAATCGAACCCGGGTCCCTTCAGTCCCCAAGCCGACGCTCTATTCATTGAGCCATATCTGTTTCGGCTATTTTGTGTTTTTTTAGAATGTAATCATAGAGTAGAATTATACACTACTTTTGTGGGAGAAACGCTTATAGTTTTATCTTCTGATTATACTGTACATGTCTATGGACCTATATATTTATTATGCTAGCCTTTAAGGGACTTTGTCAATTTCTGCACAAAAATAATCCTCTGCTGCCCTCCTTTGGCCATTCAAGGAATAACACCCTGTTCCTCTGTCCATGGTTCTGCAATTCCAGGTCAAGCCTCCTGAACATGACCAAAATTTCTGCCCAGAAAAAACACCCCCAGGAAATCATTGTTGCTGTCCAGGGCAGCAATCATTATATATTCACGGCTCTGTGTTCTTAAATCTTCCCACCCCAGCTCCCCAAAGGGAGGCCCCCGTAGACTGCTGCACTGAGGTTCCCCTTGCAGTGACCCACCCTGCCTGCCTACTATGTTCCGTTGGTGCTGTTGTTAACTACAGTGGTGAGTGAGTGTCTGGCAAGCAAATGCTCTAACCAGTGAGCAACACCAGCTACGAACTGCATGCACTTTTGTTGTGTTGATAATCAGAATTTATTTTTACCTCTAATTGACATACAGTAATACATTACTTTCCGGTGTAAAACAGTGATTGAACATTCACATCCCTCACATAGTGATTATCCCATTATTCTAGCTCACATCTGTCTCTGTTTCCTGTGGTGCAGTTACACCTCCATGCCTATTTCCTGATAGGCGTGATTGACTTTTCCAGCCCCAGTGGGGACAACCCAGGGCTGGTGTTGTTCAAGGTGGATAGTGAGCAAGATGGTGGCAGAAGAGCAGCTGTAGGATAATGTGTTTCAGAGGATGGAGGGGTTGTGTGGTGGAGCAGCGTGTGTGATTGCAACACTTTAGGGGCTTAGGCTAAAGGAGCAGTGGCTGTCTGTAGGTGATTGAGGTAAGGAGATGAGACTCGAAGTGTTCTGCAGCTGCTATCACAAGACATGTCCTTCCAGAAGTTCCAGGGAGAACATGCAAGCCTTTTCTATCTCCTGAAAGGGGAGCACCCTAGATACCCCACAAGTCCCAGTGTGATTACAGAGGCCCTTATAAGGAGGCGGCAGTAGGGTCAGAAGCGGACAGATAGGTGAGGCTGTGCTGCTGGCTGTGGACGACGGAGGCCAAAGGAGAGGCATGTCTTGGGGGAGGCTGCAGTGTCATTGTGGGCTTGTCCTCCCTGTGGTTGTGGATGCCATGCATCATGTCCTGCAGGTTCTGGTGGAACATGCGGTTGATATGTCCTTGACCCTCTCGAGTGCTCTAACGATGGCGGCTTGCGTGCCGGAGACCCGAGAAGCCCCATGCCAGATGGTGTGCAGGGATGGGGGGCCGCCTTTGCTCCTTGGGGAGCAGTGCTCTGCCGTCTGCCACTGCGGGGCATGCAACCAGGCCAGTCCCTTGGCAAGATCCCTAGGGCAGGCTGCGCCCCATTCCCTTTCCCCTCACGTTCCCTCTACTCACTTTTAAAAATATAAATTTGAGGGCATTCAAGGGCCAGAGGCCAAGGCTGGGGCTGTGGCTAGGGCTGGAGTTGATGTTAGGGTTTCAGGGTGATGGGTCAGGGTTAGAGCCGCGCTCA